AGAGAGAGAGAGAGGTGGGGCCATTGTTTAATACTTAAAAAAAACAAAGCAATTGGCAAGGAGTACTTGGAAAGGGATAGTCCACAACTTGGATCACACCTTGTCTCAGGAACCTTGATTAATTCAATTCTTACATTCAAATCACAGCTTGACAAACAAATATTAAGATATGTAAAAGTTAAAATGTAAATGTATACATATTCCAGAACTAAAAATTGCATGATGCGTGATGTCCATAGTCTTACCAGCATAATCCTCATAAAGGACTTACATGATAGCGAGAACACTCATGAACTATGTCCAATGTGTTTCAGCAACACATCTTGTGGATGTTGTGTGCCAATTTTGATCTTGTGTAGGTTGATGCACTAATTTAGATGTTTTCAACTTGTGACCACGTAGCTTGGGAAATATCATCAAAGGATAGTGAATCTTGATTATCTTTCTTAAATCATAATGAATTATATTCCATACTAACTCATGAACATATATTTGTGTGACCAGCATGCAAATACAAGATGAAAAGAATGTGAAAGGCTATATATTCACAAAAATCATAACAGTGGAAGTGAATGACCCTACTCAGGACTAAATAAAGGCCACAAGAGCCCAGTGATTGATTATTGTCCACGGCTTGACACACAACAGAAAGAAAGATAGAGAGGGTTCTACGGAGCGAACTGCTTCACATCTTTCCCTTCTAAATTGACTACCATATGTGTATAACATTCGAGCATGGACATGAGATATACCTTATTACCATGAATCTATATCTAAAATTCCTACTCACTACTGACCTAGATTACATCAAAGTCTTTAAGAACTTGAAAACCATAAACGTGCCAAACTGTGAAATAATTACCAGAAGCTTTTGTAAAGATATATTTCTTATGGAGATTGTCAGAGAAAAATTAATTTCTTAAGAATGTAGATCCTCAAGCTTCAGGATTCTAAATCTCTTGCCATTATTCATATATAGAAATTTAATTCTACCTACTAACTGTTCTACTTTCGTTACTTAGCAAACATGTATGCTTCAATTTGAAGCATGCTTTCCATTTTAAAGATAGGCTGATTCGCAAAGGCAAGCAAGCCCTCCTGTGTGCTCTATCTTCTTGGCATGTGATGAGAGCACTGGACACCTTTTCCTTGACTTCCACTACAACAAGGGTGGTTGAGGTATTGTTGTCAACAAATTTTCTCTTCTAGCATGTCACCAAGCTCAATTGGTTTGTTGAAGGCTACAAAGGTAAACTGCTTGGCTCCTACTGTTAGAAAGATGAGGCAATGATTTGCGATGTTTTGCTGGTGCATATTGAGATAATAAGACAACAATGTTTCTTCCAACACCTCGAGAAGCATCGAGTCCATGGTTGATGAGATGTTTATTGAGTTTTGGTCCCCTAAACTTTATTCCTTTGAAACTAGGCATCTAGTTGGGGAATATCTCGTCTCTTTATGAATTTTGTTGCTACTAATTTTGTTTCGGATCTTTGAAATGAGATAGCAGATTCGAATTTTTGTTCCAGAAAAAAGAGAAACCCACAAATCTTTACATAAAACTTCTCTCTGTTTTACCTTCAATCAAGATCAATACGAAAGCCCACAGCTCTGTTTGTCTTATCTCTTCTTTTCTCTTTTTCTGGGATAAATCACACCTATGAGGTTGTAGTTGACCACAGATGAAGTCACCCAACTGCTCGAATAAGAAATTTATATACACACGCTGATTGTCAAGAATGTAAATAAAACAACCAAGAATCCCATATGCAGGAAGGGACATGACATGCCTCTTTTCTCCGTTCTTGTCATTCATATGATTTTCCAGTTCTTCCAAATCTTGCGGATTATTAGTGCCTAAACTCTCACTCATTCTGCTTATTCTTGATTTATTATTTACATCAGAATGACCGAAGGACCAGTCCGTACCTATATGCAGCGTTCTATTAGTCCTAAGTCATCTCCTTAGAATGAGGAGACCTCTTGGAAGAGCTAATTGTTGCAAGTCTCGGACCATGTGAGATTACTGATGGTTTGTAGCTGGGCAAGATGATTGGTGATTCAATGATCATTTCGAACAAGAAACCTGGAGTTCATCAAAATCGATGTATTATTTGGATCCCAGGAGGAGGAAGCGAGATAGATTGAGAGGAAGGCTGGCGACCTAGCAGAAGGGGAAGATCGATGGACATCTATTTGGGGATGAGATAGATAGATACATGGAGTGAGAGGGAAGACGATGAACTCACCAAGAAACGGAGATCTGCCCGCCCTGACGTACGGCCACGACGGCGGTTGATGGAAAAGAACGGCCGTGATGATTGGCACTGTGGAGGAATGAGGACTGCGTGTTCGGCGATGAGGATGACGGCGACGGACGGCGTCTGAAGGAGGAGTTACGGTTCGAACCCTCGGGATCTGAGAAGAGGAGAAACAAATCACCTGCAAGATCCGATCTTTTTTCGGTTCTGAACAAAAATGACAGCTTAAAGAAACCATAAAAACCTCACACCGAGCTCCCCCCCCCCCCCCCCCCCCCTCCAGTCCTCCTGGAATCAAACGGGAGAGACACCAAGCCGGTGGCCTCCAGGGTTTGACTTCATAAGAGGAAAAGCAGGGGAAGAATGGTACTGACGAAGACGGCGGTGGTGGTGGTGGTTAGGGTGGATGGGATCGGAAGACGAAGCGGAAGCACTCTCGATCCAGGGATCCTTGAGAAAGGAGATTCCTGAGAGAGAGAGAGAGAGAGAGAGAGAGAGAGAGAGAGAGAGAGAGAGAGAGAGAGAATAATGATGGGGAACAAGGCAGGGGTTGAGGAGAGCCCTGCCGATTGCAGAAGCCATTATCTCTACCAAGCCAAAAAAGGCCCGATTTTTACGAGGAAAAAGGAAAAGAAAACACATAACGATCCAGAATCAACAAATGGCATCCACCGCCGCTGAGCACAAAGCGCGCACCTTTCCGGAATCCCATCCCCATCAGGCAGAGAGAGGGAGAGGTGGAACAGTGGAGAAGCCCTGCACGCAAGTGCTCTGCTCTGCCGCTGCTCCTCTTCTTGTGGGGGCTAAACCTCCTTTTCCCAGGACCAAAACGCCCCCCTCTTCCTCCTCCTCCTCCTCCTCCTCCTCTCCTCCTGCTGCTGCTTCCCCATCACATGCTCACCCCCCACTGATGCGTTCCACTTCACACGGGCATGGGCTCGGCCAAACGGGTAGGTGGATCGGTTTCAGAGAAGGACACGCTGCATTTGATGGATGGAGATGGAAGGGGGAAGGGAAGAAGAGAGAGAAAGAGAGGTAGGGGGCAAAAAGGAGGCAACTTTACAGGGAGGTGGGGGTTGGGGTGATTGGTGGTGTGTGCACTGCTTACAGCTTGGACTTGTTGTTTAGCTGCTCATTGGATAACTTTGACAAAGCAAAGATGAGTGACAAAAACTAGATAGGAAATGATAGGGTGTGGGCTCACCATAAAGCTTTCACCATATGAAACAAAACAGCTTATCAATGTTTGTTTGTTTGTTTGTTTTCCTTTCTTTTTTTTTTTTCTTCTTTTTCTTTTTTCTCCTTATCATGATTTATAAAAACCATAAAATCACCAATTTTCTATTAAAAAATATTATACACTAATAATTGCACAAAGTGCAAATAGTAATTAGATCACACTTATTTAATAAATTTAATATTATATTAATTGAAATAAGACTTGAGTACCAAGCATATTATATTAATTGGATCACACTTATATTAATAAATTTAATATTTTTATTAATTAAAATTTATATTATTTTAATTAATATATAATTAATACTATATTAATTGAAATAAGACTTGAGTGATACGGGCAATATGTATCACACTGATAAAAGATCGATACTATCTTAATATATCGTATCGATAGCTTATTAACGATAATAGGAATCATGATTTAAAAAACTTTTACCGGGTTCTCTACATAATTAACTAAGACATTTATATAGGTAATTTAAGACTGTGTGATTATTACTAAATCTTTTCATTCTTCAAATAGATGAAATATCTACATTTATAATAATATTATTCTTTATCAAACAAAGAATAAGAGAGAGAGAGAGAGAGAGAGAGAGAGAGAAGGAATTGTAGTTCTTGTGCCCTCTCATCTGTCGTGTTTCTTGCTACTTCATGGAAACGAAAGCAGCATCCATGTCTCTCTCTCGGTTGACCCAAAGCTGCACGTTAGCAACACCATGGCTGGATTGTCCTCTCCATCTTCCTTTCTTTGGATAGAACTTGAGAAAGATGAGGCATTTTATACCGAATATTATAAACCTTCGAAGACCATCGTAACTTGCTTTGCTTATACAACTTGCATTTGTGTGTTTTATATAATGTTTCATGCTTGCTTCATGTTGGACACATTGATGCCATCATTTACCAAACATTAATATCAAATTCAATGTCATGGTTTCTAGAAGATGATAGGACACCTCTTCAATCACAAAATATATTTAAAATATGATTTCAATATGCGTAGAAAGAGAGAGAGAGAGAGAGAGAGAGAGAGAGAGAGAGAGAGATAAAACACGTGTTCATAAATTTATAGCAAACAATCATATGAGGTTGCCCCTTTCATATGTAATGTCATTTGAAAAGTCAGTGGTTTCAACATTTATCCCTCTAAATTTAATATTCTCTATGATGCTCAAAAAACTATACATACACTATTATAATCAATAGCTATTGGTTAACTATTTTAAATTAATATAATCATATCGATATTATAATCTTTATTCATTTAAAATCTATATTATATATGAAAAAAAATGAGAATTGTAATGATATTTTAGATGTTTTATTTTTTTATATGAAATTCAACTCAAATTATGTACCGATGATCATGCTTAATAGTGATCTATTAAAATTTATTGGATAGATATTTAGAGAGATAAGTGTTATATTATAATTCATGGAGGCAAATATGCTATTTCCAATAGATATGGGGAAAAAAAGAAGGTGGGAGATGCAAATTTGGCTCCACCAAAGTTGGATGGCAATAATGTGAGTTGGGACCAATGTGTCCAAATTTGGCCCAGCTAATTAATTTGGATACCAATAATGTGTTTTTGGGACCAATGCGTGCCGATTTGGTCGTGTTTGTCCTAAAATTTTCAATCAATTGCAACAATTGGATTCAACTCAAAAATTATAATCATTAATATTTTTAAAAAATAAAACAGTGCATGAATAGTTATTAGAGTCGAATCAAGAGATAAACTGGTCAAACCATAGATCATTGAATCACTGTTGACTTGATTGGTTAGACTAAGTTGAAATGCTAATAACCTATAAAATATCACCTAAAAATTAAGTAAAACAAATTATATAATACTTCAATTATATTTACCACTATTAATCCATCCGTCTAAAACCTTTGCATCAAGCATGAGCACCTTCGAGGTTGATCCGTTTTTATTTTTTTCTCTTGGTTTATTGTAATTTAAAAAATTTCTTTTTAAAATATCTAAGTTTCTACCCTCTTTTTTTTTCTCTCATTTTTGCTTCGTTTTTGCATAAAGTATTTTATTTTTCTAAATTATGATATTATTCTTAACCTTTTTCCCACTACCGTTTCTGTTTTATGTTAGAATCCTAATGAATTCTAAGCTTGGGGTTGATCTCTTTAGGGGATCGACATCCTTGGAGCTCTATAGGGGTTTCTTCCTCCAAGTTACTGTTCAAAGACTGCTAAGAAGATTCATCTATTGCTTGTCAAAAGAGGATGAATACATGACTATTTTTAAGGTAACTAAACCCTAACTCCTAATAGGACTCCTACTCAAGACTCCTACTTCTAACCAACTCCTAATAAAACTCATACTCTAAGAAGCTACCTCCCAACTAACCATAACCTTAGCCAGCCTCTTCACCTCTTTAAAAGGGGTCGGCTAGGCAGGTTTTACATGAATGCCTCTTTCAATAAAATTTAATTAGGACTATCTTAGCTATAGTCCTAACAGACCCTCCCTCTTCAAATCAGTCTTATCCTCGAGGCTGACGATCCATGAATTCTGAAAATTTGATCTTCAAGTCGTCATAGTTCTCTCAAGTGGCATCTTCTGATGGTAGGTTCGCCCATTGTATTATCACTTCAGTAGTGGATCGTCATCGTCGAATTATGATCCGTCGATCAATAATGACACTCGGTTGGGTCTAGAGTTCTCCTTAGGTAGTCATATTTGGTAGATGACTTTGGGCTATCTCATTTTGTCCCAACTTGAGCTTTACACATGACACATGGAAGACTAGATGGATTCGGGGAGCTAGCGGGTAAGTCCAATTTGTATGCTACCGCTCTGATGCGCTCCAAAATTTGGTAGGGTCCATAAAACCAAAGTGAAAGCTTCATAGATGCTCTAGTCTGGATTGATGTTTGCTTGTATAGTTAGAGCCGTAGGAAGACCCAATCGCTTATTGAAAATTCTCTTTTGCCTTTTTGTTGATCCTATTGTTGTTTCATCCTTGCTTGGGCTGCAGTGAGATTATCTTTTAGTAACTTCAGCATTTTATCTATGTCCTATAGTTCCTTGTCTACTTGTTCTACTTTAGAGGTGCTCAACACATATTTTGGGATCATAAGGGGAGGTCGGCCATACATAGCCTCATAGGGGGTACATTTTGTGGATGAATGATAAGTTATATTATACCACCACTCGACTCATGGAAGCCACTTTATCCACTCTTTTGATCGGTCACTGGTGAAGCATCTGAGGTATGTCTCCGAGCATCTGTTTACCACTTCAGTCTGACCGTCAGTTTATGGGTGATATGTCGTACTCATTTTTAATTTAGTGCCCTGCATTTTGAATAACTCTGTCCAAAATCTGCTTGTGAAGACCTTATCATAATCACTTACAATAGATCTCGGCATCTCATGTAATTTTACAATATTCTTCATAAATATTTTAGCAATACTAGAAGTAGTATAGAGATTACGAATAATGCAAAAGTGAGCATAGTTTGTAAGGCGATCAACCACAACAAGAATTATACTTTTTCCCTGTGATGAGGGAAGCCTTTCGAAGTCCATTGATATATCAGTCCATATTGAGTCTGGGATGGGCAAAAGTTGTAGCTTTCCGGGGCTTGCCATTATCTCGCCTTTATGTCGTTGACATACGTCACATTATGCCATAAATTTAGCAATAATATTTTTTATCCCTACCCAATAAAATTTTTGCTTAATTCTCTTATAGGTTCTAAGGAACCCGGAGTGCCCGGTCGCAGGTGTGGAATACATCTCTTGAAGGATAGTCTTTATGCAAGTAGAATTTGGCACAAGCACAATGTGTCCCTTATAACACAATTCTTTTGAGTCTCAATTGTAATGAGCCATAGAGTTTGGTGCTTCCTCCAATTTTTTTATGAACTTACTGGTCTCTGAATCTTCTTGACATTCCCTTTTAATATCGTCGAGGAAGTCGTTGGTCGAAAGTGGAACGACAAAAAATTTAGCTTGCTCGGGTAGCCGCAAAAGCGCATATGCAATAACATTCTCTTTCCCCTGTTTGTAAGTTATTTCATAATCATATCTAAGAACCTTTGTTACTCATTTTTGTTGCTCGGGGGAAGATATATTCTATTCCAAGAAATATTTTATGCTTTTATGGTCGGTCTTAATTTGAAAGCGTCGCTCGATCAAGTACGGTCTCCATTTGGTCACCGCATACACAATCGCGAGCATCTCCTTATCGTAAATAGTCATCTTGAGATGGGAAGGAGATAATTTCTTACTGGTATAAGCGAGGGGACGGCCATCTTGCATTAGTACAACACCAATTCTAACTCCAGGGGCATCGGCTTCAATAACAAAAGTCTTGCCGAAGTTGGGTAGCGCTAGTACATGCATTGTCATCATTGCGTTTTTAAGTTCGTTTAAGGCAGTGATAGCTTTATCCGACCATTGGAAAGCATCTTTTTTCAGCAAGGAAGTAAAGGGTGCACTGATCTTTCCATAGTTTTTAATGAACTTGCGGTAGTAGCTTGTTAAACCGAGAAAGCCACGTAGTGATTTTATGTTCCTTGGGGTCGGTCAGTTCTGCATTGCTTCAATTTTAGAGGGATCCACTGCCACACCTTCCTCTGATATGATATGCCCAAGATATTCTACCTTCTGTTGAAGAAAGCTGCACTTTGATTTTTTGACAAAAAGAACATGTTCTCACAAAATCGTTAAAACAAGTCGTAAGTGCTGAAAATGACCTTCAAGAGAAGGGTTATAAATAAGGATATCGTCGAAGAAAACCAGCACAAACTTACGAAGATAATTCCAGAAAATATCATTCATAAGGCTTTAGAAGGTGGAGGGAGCATTGGTGAGACTAAAGGGCATTA